CTCAACTGACCACACAAAGCACAGAAGATTATCTGTATTAGTGTGGTCAGTTTTCATGCTTTGGCTGGCCATTCAGAGGCGTAGGACATTGTACAGACACACAGCATGCCTTTGTTCTGCCACCACATCGCGCAGCCAATCACTGCATGCCACTGCCACACCCTTTCCCAATTACAGCCTGCCTCTTGAACGCCCCCTAACCCAATCATAGCCTGCCGCTTGAACACTTAAACACCCCCCCAATCACAGTCTGCAGTCTGCCTCTTGAACATCCCCCCCAATCACAGCTTGCCTTTTGAACACGTCCCCTCCTAATCACTGCCTGCCTCTTGAACACACCCCCTTCCAATCACTGCCTGCCTCTTGAACACACACCCTCCCAATCACTACCTGCCTCTTGAACACGCCCCCTCCCAATCACTACCTGCCTCTTGAACTTGCCCCCTCCCAATCACTACCTGCCTCTTGAACTCGCCCCCTCCCAATCACTACCTGCCTCTTGAACTCGCCCCCTCCCAATTACAGCCTGCCTCTGGAACACGCCAACTCTCAATCACAGCCTGCCTCTTGAACACGCCCCCCCCAATCACAGCCTGCCTCTTGAACATGCCCCCTCCCAATCACAGCCTGCCTCTTAAACTTGCTCCCTCCCAATCACAGCCTGCCTGCCTCTTGAACACACCCCCTCCCTCCCTTTATAGAGTGTAGACGGGTGTAGGGTGTCTGTATAGGGCGTGTGTTGGATCATACAGTGTAGATGAGTGTAGGGTGTCTGTATAGGGCATGTGTTGGATCATACAGTGTAGAGGAGTGTAGGGTGTCTGTATAGGGCGTGTGTTGGATCATACAGTGTAGAGGAGTGTAGGGTGTCTATAGGGCGTGTGTTGGTTCTTACAGTGTAGAGGAGTATAGGGTGTCTGTATAGGGCGTGTGTTGGTTCATACAGTGTAGAGGAGTGTAGGGTGTCTGTATAGGGCATGTGTTGGATCATACAGTGTAGAGGAGTGTAGGGTGTCTGTATAGGGCGTGTGTTGGTTCATACAGTGTAGATGAGTGTAGGGTGTCTGTATAGGGCGTGTGTTGGTTCATACAGTGTAGAGGAGTGTAGGGTGTCTGTATAGGGCGTGTGTTGGATCATACAGTGTAGAGGAGTGTAGGGTGTCTATAGGGCGTGTGTTGGTTCATACAGTGTAGATGAGTGTAGGGTGTCTGTATAGGGCGTGTGTTGGTTCATACAGTGTAGATGAGTGTAGGGTGTCTGTATAGGGCGTGTGTGTTGGTTCATACAGTGTAGAGGAGTGTAGGGTGTCTGTATAGGATGTGTGTTGGTTCATACAGTGTAGATGAGTGTAGGATGTCTGTATAGGGTGTGTGTTGGTTCATACAGTGTAGACGGGTGTAGGGTGTCCGTATAGGGCGTGTGTTGGTTCATACAGTGTAGAGGAGTGTAGGGTGTCTGTATAGGATGTGTGTTGGTTCATACAGTGTAGATGAGTGTAGGATGTCTGTATAGGGTGTGTGTTGGTTCATACAGTGTAGATGGGTGTAGGGTGTCTGTATAGGGTGTGTGTTGGATCATACAGTGTAGATGAGTGTAGGGTGTCTGTATAGGGTGTGTGTTGGTTCATACAGTGTAGATGAGTGTAGGATAGCTGTATAGGGCGTGTGTTGGTTCATACAGTGTAGAGGAGTGTAGGGTGTCCGTATAGGGCGTGTGTTGGTTCATACAGTGTAGAGGAGTGTAGGGTGTCTGTATAGGATGTGTGTTGGTTCATACAGTGTAGATGAGTGTAGGGTGTCTGTATAGGGTGTGCGTTGGTTCATACAGTGTAGATGAGTGTAGGGTGTCTGTATAGGGTGTGTGTTTGATCATACAGTATAGAGGAGTGTAGGGTGGCTGTATAGGGCGTGTGTTGGATCATACAGTGTAGAGGAGTGTAGGGTGTCTATAGGGCGTGTGTTGGTTCATACAGTGTAGATGGGTGTAGGGTGTCCGTATAGGGCGTGTGTTGGTTCATACAGTGTAGATGGGTGTAGGGTGTCTGTATAGGATGTGTGTTGGTTCATACAGTGTAGATGAGTGTAGGGTGTCTGTATAGGGTGTGCGTTGGTTCATACAGTGTAGACGGGTGTAGGGTGTCCGTATAGGGCGTGTGTTGGTTCATACAGTGTAGAGGAGTGTAGGGTGTCTGTATAGGATGTGTGTTGGTTCATACAGTGTAGATGAGTGTAGGATGTCTGTATAGGGTGTGTGTTGGTTCATACAGTGTAGATGGGTGTAGGGTGTCTGTATAGGGTGTGTGTTGGATCATACAGTGTAGATGAGTGTAGGGTGTCTGTATAGGGTGTGTGTTGGATCATACAGTGTAGATGAGTGTAGGGTGTCTGTATAGGGTGTGTGTTGGATCATACAGTGTAGATGAGTGTAGGGTGTCTGTATAGGGTGTGTGTTGGGATCATACAGTGTAGATGGGTGTAGGATAGCTGTATATAGGGCGTGTGTTGGATCATACAGTGTAGAGGAGTGTAGGGTGTCTATAGGGCGTGTGTTGGTTCATACAGTGTAGATGGGTGTAGGGTGTCCGTATAGGGCGTGTGTTGGTTCATACAGTGTAGATGGGTGTAGGGTGTCTGTATAGGGCGTGTGTTGGTTCATACAGTGTAGATGGGGTGTAGGGTGTCTGTATAGGGCGTGTGTTTTTTAGTGTTTCATACAGTGTAGATGGGTGTAGGGTGTCTGTATAGGGCGTGTGTTGGTTCATACAGTGTAGATGGGTGTGTAGGGTGTCTGTATAGGGTGTGTGTTGTGTGTTGGTTCATACAGTGTAGATGGGTGTAGGGTGTCTGTATAGGGCGTGTGTGTGGGTTCATATAGTGTAGAGGAGTGTAGGGTGTCTGTATAGGGTGTGTGTTGGTTCATACAGTGTAGATGAGTGTAGGGTGTCTGTATAGGATGTGTGTTGGTTCATACAGTGTAGATGGGTGTAGGGTGTCTGTATAAGGTGTGTGTTGGTTCATACAGTGTAGATATTGATTGTGTGTCTGAATTATCTCTTGCATGGCAGCCGATGCTGTCCTTGGCCGATGCGGTGTCATTGTGCCTCTACTCGCCTCTCTTGCCCATATATAGATTTGTTAACGCTCTCCAAGTATTCATTTGCCTCCCTGAGTCTTCTATTGTTTTCCTGTTAACAGCTGATCCCTTTCCCCTTCCTCTTCCTCTCAGCCTGGCACTCCGGAAAACTTTTCAATAAGTAGTTTCTGCTTCTCAGCTGTAATGTACACACAGACGCCGGAAATGTTCTGCTCGGGGTCCTCGGTGACCCTGTCCTGTCCAGACGTTGCAGTGGGGACCGCCTGTGGAGGGCAATGCCAGCTGCAGAATAAAGCAAGGACCAGCAGCGTGACTGGCTCACGGGTAGCACTCATGTACAATTCAGGGGCCAGAAAAATCCAGTCTACAGCCCAAGGGTGACAGTCGACCTTAAAGCAGTATTAATCCCATCAGCACATATGTTGAACACAGCCCTCTGATCTGCTTTTCACAGGTAAATGCTGTTCTGTGATCTCCACCTTAAACTGTCTCCCTGCCGCGCACTGACTTTCTGCAAAACTCAGGATACTTAGTCCTATGTCTTTTTGTTTGTTTGTGGTGATTGGTTTTCACCGCCTTTGCCTTTCTGGGATCAGAGAATGAATCATCTTTTATGACCCTAACCTGTGTGCGTGTGACTGATCTGGTTTTTGAATAACATCCCCCAAATTCATGTGATCGTTATCAGTTCCTAATTGGGGTGGAGAAGAGTTGCTCATTTGATCATCTCCCTATAAATTTAGACCAGCTTATGAGGGAATTGTCCCTAGTATGTGTATGTATGAGTGTGAGTTAGGGACCTTAGATTGTACGCCCCTTGAGGGTTAGGGACTGATGTGAATGTACAATATATATGTAAAGTGCTGCGTAAATTGACGGCGCTATATAAGTACCTGAAATAAATAAATAAATGTCACAGATGGGGGGGTTCATTCTCGGGGGGCATTTTCTGATGGAGTGTAAAGCAGCAGTTGAACTAAAGCAGGATAACTCAAGCAGCAAGAAGATCCAACAAAGACTTCTACTGCACGCTGGATGGACTGCAAGCAAACACCATGGGAAACATCTCCTACAAAGTCTGAGTCCCACTCCGTGTACCTTTTAATATGTCCCCTCTACTCCTCCTTTTTCATATTTACTATCCTCTGTTCCCAAAATATCCTTTTACCCCTCTGCTCCACCCGACCCCAGAGCTTATACATCTCACCCTCACTGCTACCATCTCCCTACTACTGCTCTCATCACCTCCTGCTGTGATACTCGTCTTCAAACACTTATCCCTCCAAGCAGCAAACAATTACCCGCAGAAATCTTCAAAACTTTAACCCTTCTCTTTTCCGATCTGTAAATGACCAACTCTATGACGGAATCTCTCCCCTGTCCTGCCCTGACATTGCCACTGCTGTCTACAACAGTTTGCTTTCATGCACATTAGACTCACTTGCTCCTCTAACAACACGAAGCAGCAGGCCACGACCATTACAACCTTGGCAGACTGACGACACCAGAACTCTTAGTCGTGCACTGGAGCGATTGTGGCGTAAAACCAAATCCCCTATATAAATCTGCTTTCTTCACATACAATTCCTCCGTCCATGCTGCCAAACAAGCCTACTCTGTCACTCTCATCAACAAGCTTGTCATTCCAGTCTTCGTCGTCTCTTCTCTACTTTTAACTCTCTACTTTCTCCACCTCCACCCAGTACCTCACTCACTGCTCACAAGATTGCAAATCATTTCAAAAACAAGATTGACGCAATTCGTAGGGACATCGCCACTGCACAGACATCCACCCCACTTAGCATACCTTATACTAAACTATACTAAACCTCCTCTACACTCTCCTCTTTTGACCTTGCTACTGCCGAAGAGGTCACTAAGGTCTTCTCAGAAGCCCGTCTCACCACCTGCCCCCTGGATCCTGTCCCCTCACAACTACTACAGTCACCCTCTTCTTCCATCTTATGCTCCCTCACTCACATCTTCAATCTCTCCCTCTCTACTGGTGCCTTCCCCTCCCCTCTAAAGCATGCACACATCACTCCCATACTTGAAAAAGCCCTCCCTGGACCTCACCAACCTGAACAACCTAAGACCCATCTTCCTGCTGCCATTTGCATCTAAACTCAGAATGCTTAGTCTACAATCGCCTGAGCTCCCACCTCACTGATAACAACCTTCTTGACCCTTTACAGTCTGGCTTTCGCCCTCTACACTCCACTGAAAAATTCCGCCCTACTAAAACTCACTAATGCTCTACTAACAGCTAAAACCATTGGCCACTACTCTGTACTCATCCCAACCAATGGCCACTACTCCGTACTCATCCCAACCAATGGCCACTACTCCGTACTCATCCCAACCAATGGCCACTACTCCGTACTCATGCCAACCAATGGCCACTACTCCGTACTCATGCCAACCAATGGCCACTACTCTGCCGTACTCATGCCAACCAATGGCCACTACTCCGTACTCATGCCAACCAATGGCCACTACTCCGTACTCATCCCAACCAATGGCCACCACTCCGTACTCATCCCAACCAATGGCCACTACTCCGTACTCATCCCAACCAATGGCCACTACTCCGTACTCTTACTACTTGACCCTCTCTGTGGCTTTTGATATGGTTGACCATCCCCTTCTGCTCAAAAAACTCCACTCTCTTGGCCTCCGAGACTCTGCTCTTTCCTGGTTCTCCTCCTACCTATCGCAGTGCTCCTTCGGTGCTACCTATAACTATTCCCTCCAACAACAATAGATCCCCCTGCAGCCAGCAACAATAAAACCCTGCTGCACACTCCTGGAGGTGCCAGAACTGTGTTTCTCCACGTTCCCACTGAAAAAAAAGCCCTGAGGGTGCAGTCCCATAGATTGTAGTCCCCATGCCAATATATGTCAGTCCCATGCTGGTAATATGTCGTCTCGCATGGATAATATGCAATCCCACACTACTAGTTTGCAGTCCTGTGTAACCCTGTGCCTACAGCATGTAGTCCCACTCTAACCAACATATACCTGTGATCTATAAAAAAAAAAATTTAAAAGCATTTCACAGTGTGCAGCAAGAAGTGTGTGGGTATGAATGATATCACCTATAAATCAAACAATTTAAAATACTAAAATCAACAATAAAATAATAAATCAAGAATGAATAATAAAAATCAATATAAAATAATAAATCAAGAATGAATAATAAAAATATCAATAAAATAATAAATCAAAATGAATAATAAATCAACAAAAGAATAATAAATCAAAAATAAAATATTAAATCAAGAATGAATAATAAGCATACAGCAAATAATAAATCAACAATGAATAATAAATCATCAATGAAATAATAAATCAACAATGAATAATAAAGCAGCAATAAAAATAATAAACCAACAATGAAATAATAAATTAACAATAAAATAACAAATCATCAATAAGATCTCTGGCAGGGATCAACAGGTATTTTTGAATGGGCAGCACAGTGGCGAAATGGTCAGCACTTCTGTCTGGCAGTACTAGGGTCGTTGGTTCAAATCCAACCACAGCACCACCTGCCTGGAGTTTGCATGTTCTCCCTGTGCCTGCGTTGGGTTTCCTCTGGGTACTCCGGTTTCATCCTCCCACACTCCAAAGACATGCTGGTAGGTGAATTGGTCCTGTCTAAATTGGCCCTAGTATGTGTATGTATGACTGTGAGTTAGGGACCTTAGATTGTACGCTCCTTGAGGGTTAGGGACTGATGTGACTGTACAATATGTACGTAAAGCGCTGTGTGTAAATTGATAGCGCTATATAAGTACTTGAAATAAAACAATAATAAATCAACAATTGAATAATAAATCTGCAGCATCAAAAGTGTCCAACTTCCAGGAAATAATTCTCGTGTTAAAGCAATGCCTCGCTAAATCAAAAAATCAATACTGAAGGATATAGACCCAAGCCTTGTGCCAAATAGCATGCTGTGCAGAGATCCAATGTTCAGAGATCCCAATGCGCAGAGATCCCAATGTGCAGAGATCCCAATGCGCAGAGATCCCAATGTGCAGAGATCCCAATGTGCACAGATCCCAATGTGCAGAGATCCAATGCCAGAATGTCTTCATTCAGGAAAGAATATTATCTCTGTATTCCTCCTATGAGATTGTATCTGAGGTGGGAATGTGGCCCGCGGTTTCACACCTAATGCATCGTTTAATCCTTTTTATTCCAGGAATGTTTCTCTGTCTGGAAGTGTTTTTCCTTCTTCTTGTTTTTCCTTGTAAATTTGTCATGTTCTGCACAGGGGGTGGCGGGGCTGTTTATGGAGGTGCTCTGAAGGATACGGAGTGCTTCCATGTGTACAATCTAGACAATACTGGTCTGCGATTACAAACATCAATTCAATACATACGTGTAAGGGCAGCATTCGACTTCCTAGGACATGGGTTACCAGGTAACCGGGAATTGGAACCCGTATGAGCCGATAACAAGAAACTTTGTACAGTCTGAGAACTGGAAACATCTTAATTGTCTAATATGGGCCCCGAAGCCGGCCATACATGGATGGAGTTCTGAATGTAATGTTATTAACTGAAACAATGGTATGACAATTGCTCATCAGTATGTCCGATGGCATGACAGATTAAATCCGCTGAAAGTACTTTAAAAAACAAGGTTGCTTTTAAGCTGATAGTATGTAGTTCTATGATAATTAGTATGTAGTCCCACAATGCATAGTAAGCGTTGTCCCATTGATTATTAGTATATTGTTCCCATTATGATAAGTATGTAGTCCCATAATGATAGTATGTAGTCCCATGATGATCTAGCACTTTTTCCCATTGATAGTAAGTATGTTGTCCCATGGCCAATAGTACATAGTCCCTGTGCTGAACACCCCAGCAGGTGTTTTGTCCCTATGCCAAACTAAGTATGTAGTATCCCTTATGATTGCTATGTTGTCCCACACTATTAGTCACATCAGTTGCACAGGATGATAGTATGTAGTCACATGCCTGATGGAGTGTGTGCACCACGTCAATACTCTTTAGTCCCATCGCTGATAGTACTGTTGTCCCTATGTCAATACTATGTAGTCCCAAGTCAATGTGTGTGTTGTCCCATCCCTGATAGTATGTTGCCCCATGATGACTAATATGTAGTCCCAATGATGGTAGTATGTAGTCCCAACACAAACATACTATCCCAAGGGCGACGGGAAACACTTCAGCATTCAGTCCCATTGCTGATAGTATGTCAGTCACATACTGATGGTGATGTAGTTCAACTTCAATACTATGTAGTCCCATGCTGACAGTATTGTGAGTCCTATTGCCAATAGTATGTAGTCCCACAACAATAGTAATGTTGACCTATGACTGCACATAATACAGGTGAAAACATGAGATTGTGATTCACTACTCTGAACAAGACTGAGAGACCCCTTTTAAAGGCTCAGGAACCCTTTGCATGTGTTATGGCTTTAATTAGCTGATTAGAGTGGGACACTTTGAGCCGAGAATATTGCCACCTTTTCCAATATTCTCATTTTCTGAGATTTGTGGATTTGGGGTTTTAATGAGATGTAAGCCCTAATCATACTAGGTTGACAAATCACGGCTTGAACTATCTAGCTTTGCATGTAATGAGTCTATCTATATTAGTTTCACCTTTTAAGTTGCTGCACTGAAAAAAATGAAATTTTTCACCATATTCAAATTTTCGATTTTACTTTTATTAGTTTCGTCCCCCTAGTATGTTGTCCCATGAGATGTTTTTTGTTACTGATA